TTTGTGCATAATCCTTCAGAGCACATACAGTCCCAGAGAAGAATCCCTTCCGCATACCCTTGGATTTATTCATTTATTTCTGAAAAAAATCATATACAGCACTTTTTTTTGTCAATTTTACAAAAATGAGAGTCTACTTCTATTGAAAGCCTTCAGCAGAAGAACACTACCTTGAACTAAACTATGAAGGAGTAACATCTTGGATTCATCAAGGACAGATAGGAATTCACAGCAAACATTATCCTGAAAGGGAATATCAGCCTTTATAACCAACCAGCTACTCAAACTTGCACAAAGTGCTTGACTTCTGGGCTAATACTTGGCTATCTTTTGTATTTCCTGTCAGGAATACTTGCCAGGAAGGCTGGTTTTGTCGCCTTCTCTCTAATAAACCCTCCCTTTCCAATCTTATTGCTAGATCCATGTAGGAACTTCCATTGCAAAAGAGGAAGAGTCTGTCATGCGGACGAACAAGAGCAGCCTAGCTGCATTTGCCAAGACCCTGCTGCTTGCCCTTCAACTAAAGATTATGAGCGTGTAAGTACTTCATTCATTACACAGCATGGGAGAAAACCAACTACAACACTTACAGGATACTATGTTCCCCAAGCATTAGAGTAATTCTAGCCAAAAAAAGAGCATGAAAGTGGGCTTCAGTGATTTTAGTAATTGTAACTCCAGGTACAGAATACCAAAACCTATGGATTCTTGCTTGACAGGAATATAAAAGCATACAGCTACAAAATACTTACTGTGAGTTTCCTCTATTACAGTCACGCAGTGAATACTAATTTTTCTGTCACTAAAAGTAAAATTGATTCATTTTATGTCTCAGAGTATATACCAAATACACACCAACACAATATATAGTCCAATAATACTGTAGCAATTCAGAGATAGAGACAATACCACAGAAATTAAGATGGCTTCAAAATAGGTTTCTGTGGGTATTCATAACTGGTGCACTGTATGGCAATGTTTATTTTATTATGTCTAAAACTGATAATTATTCTGAACATGGTAGAGGAGGGTGGTTTGATTTTTACCCCATTTCAGGTTTGTGGCACTGATAATAAGACCTACAATGGCCTATGTCAACTCTTTGGCACAAAATGCCAACTTGAAGGGACGAAAATGGGACGCCAGCTGCACCTGGACTATATGGGATCCTGCAAATGTAAGGCTTAGGCTTTTGTATATTGAATTTATCTAGCTATAAAGATTCACTAAATTGAATAACTACGCACTAATCCTAATATATTTGCTTCCTTCTTTTGTTTTGCCCCAGTCTGCATCAGTTATCTGCTAAGCCTGTTTAAGCTTCCAAACCTTAAATGTGTCAGACCAGTGAGTTTGCCCTATAAATAAGAGCATCAAGTGGCCTAATGCAAAGACAATTGCAGCAATTTCCTGTCAGCACTGCTCTCCCCACTACTCTTATACATTATTTTGGTTCCTATTGCAAATAGCATCTCAGCATTACAGATTCTAATGTATTTATTCTCACCGGGACAATATTAACACATCCATTTTACAGAGGAAAACGTGAACTAGTCCCACTGCCTGGGCCATGCTATCTTTTTCAGCTGCCAGAGGTACCCAAAAGGAGTTCCAAGACAGCTCAGAAATGTCCACCTGAATTGTAGTCATGTGTGAAGAATAAAGAGATTGGCCTAAGCCGTGGTACAAGATCACCCAGAGACTCTATGCAAGTCCTCAGTTCAAATCTCTTGCTTGTGATGACCATTTTAACTACATAGCTTCTGGCTTGCATGACTTGTTAAGAATGTCAAGCTTACCACAAACCATTTAAAATGTATAATTCAACCCATTACTTGCTTTGTTAATTTTTAAAACTCGGTCAATTTAAAGCTGACCTGGAAATGTGTTCATGACAACTCAATCCAACTTAGCCTAGAAATGCTTCAATGTCAGTTTTACATATCTCTTGCTAATGAGAGTTTTGTGGTTTGGAGCAGACATCCCTCACTGTACTGACTATGAAGTGGATCAGTTCCCTCTCCGGATGAGAGACTGGCTCAAAAACATCCTTATGCAGTATTACGAACGCGATGTGGATACATCTGCATTTCTAACTGAAAAACAAAGGAGTAAAGTAAGCAATCCTTCTTGCATTAAACCACTCAATTACACTGTTAGAGATGCATGAGCCATCTGTAACAATTTATGTTATTCAAGTTCTCCCTTTTCTTATCGGCATTCTTGTTCAGGTTCTATAGACTGAATTACACCTAAGGAAGTCAGTCAGCTGTGCTGTTCAGTATCAGTTAGATACACAGATTGCAAAATACACTTAGGTTTCCCACACCTATCATTACTATGAATGTTCTTTTGTCCAAGTGAACATAAGACAAATTTTTAAATGAATGCTCACCAACAAGGAGCAGACTTTAATACAAGAGAATTGGCACACACACCTAGATAAACATAAAATGCTTGAGAAGAATCAACACAGTTGCTGTTCAGGGAAGTACTTTGTGACAAATTATCTGGAAAGATTAATGTGTGGAGCAGAATTGTGCAATTTGAACTTTCTGCAAGGCTTATGAAAGCTGAGTAGATAGAGCATAAAGTAGACAGTGTGGGTATGGATAGAGCGATTTATGTAAAGACAGAAAACTGGAAAGAAACTGCCAAGAGAGGTCATTTGTTGAGTTTCACAGGTTGAAAGAACTTGTGCAATTCAGCATTTGAACATTACCTGGAAGAGAACAGTGGGTAAAAAAAAAAAGAAATGCTGACGAGATATTCAAGGAATTAAAGACTTGACTTCACTGACAAATTGTTGAAGGATGCTATGATTGAACAGTAGAACAAACAAGATCCAGTCCAAATTTGCCATATGCAATATGAATGATGGAGGTGTCAAAAGGGGATCCTTGCCTTGGATTGAGTTTAAAAAAATTCTTGGTTCTTGGGACAGCAAGTATGTTTCTGAAAACTGAGTGAACAGTTATTGGTAAGTTTTGCAGTTTTTTCCTCCAGCTTCAGACTTGATCAATCTGAAGATAAAAGTTACACTGATAAAGACATACAAAGTTATAGGGGTTTGGAGCTCAGTTTTTAAAGACAGAAAAGCTACCTAATTATCCAATAACCCACCTGCAGCATCACTTAGAGCAAGAATCTGCTTCAAACACAGCAGCCTCTTTTATATCACTGGGCCTTTTATTTGAGAAATTATTTATTTATGCCAAGTGAGTTGGTGACAGCAATTTTTCTCAAGTTACAGACATCAAAACTGCCCCAAACCCTCTAAATAAGCAAATAATGCCAGTTAAATCAAGTCCCTGGGCTGCTCTGACTTTGGAACAGGAGGGGCACACAGTAGGTCACACTAGGTTTATACAGAATTTCCCTAAGGAACAGGGAAAGCTACGTGCACAACTCCAGGGCACAGTAGACTACTGGGAACTTTTCACACCAAGTGGTTTGAATTATGTGACTGTTGAGATTATTCATTTCACACTGAAATGCATGCTTGCCCCAGCATTCAAGTTACACTA